CCACGCTGGCCGTCTCCGCCGACCGCCTCGAGTGGCGCTATCTCAACAGCGCGGACGGATCCCTCGTCGACTCCTTCGTCCTCACACGTGGCGCCTGAAGGGGGTGCGATTTTCTTCTTCTTCTTCTTCGAAGCAGAAACAATCACACCATTCGTAATTACGAGAAAAGAGTGTTTATTGGATCCGTGGGTTAGGAGGACTTAGTAGCAACGGCGGCGTCGGCCATAGCCCGGACGGAAGCTGGGACCACGGAAGCGTCTCCCTCCTGCTCCAGAGCAGAAAAACACGAATCAGCTCATGAGCGAGAACAGTTTTCTCCACAAACAGAGCGGCGGTGGAGGTGGAGGTGGGAAGCTCAAGAGGGTCTCACGTACCGTAGCCACGTCGAGGGGCAGCGTGGTGGTGATGGTGGTGGTGGTGACGGCTGAAGATACCTCCCATATTCACTAGGATAAGCTAAGCGAGTGGTGCGTGAGTGTTTGGTCGTGTGTTGTTGAGTTGTTGTTGTTGTGCTAGAGATGATGGACAGCGAGAGTGAAAGCCCATCTTTTAAAGGCCCCACGAACCTAGGTGACACCAGCTTCGGCTGGTTTGCCTCTAGTTTGCCAGGAGCTCTAGGCAGGACGCCCAGCAGACCGCCCGCAGGAGTGTGAGCTCTCTGCCATGGCAGCTCCCATTCCAGCGCTGCCTTGCCAGAGAACTCTGAGGCGCGTGCCCGTCAATCGAGAACGCAGAGCGTTATTTGTTTCCTTGAAGCTCATGAGCTAACTGACCAATGGCGGAGCTGCAATATTAAACCAAGTGATCTCCGACTGACGTCACATTATGTCTGCCGTGCATGGGACCTTAGGCCAGGGTGAACGAACGAACGATGGGCTCACTGTTTGCTCCTTGGTGTATGTGCGGCCTCATCAGTGGAAGCGAGACATGGAGTTCTTCTTGTAGCGGGTCTTGGGGTCGATGGTGTGGAGGCCAAAGTTGGAGACCAGGTCGTCGGGGCTGCTGTTCATCATGATCTTGAACGAGTCCTGCCACTGCGTCTCCAGCTGCTTCAGCTGGGCGCAGCTCACCTGCTTCGCTCCATTCCCGTACATGCCTGCACGCGACACAACAAACGCGCGATTAGAATAAGGGAGCTGCTGGGAGAGGTAGTGGTCGTGGTAGTGGTACCTTTGACCATCCACGTGGTGTCCAGGGCCGAGAGGATGGCCCGGTTGGCACCGGTGCCCAGGGGCCAGAAGGGCTCGATCAGGGCATCGCCCACCAGCGCCACGAGCAGCTTGTTCCCCTCCTGTAACCCACATTTGTATTGTTAGAAATATTTTCTATTTTGTGTGTATATAAACAAATATGGTGGAATAAATTTGAACTATACCACTACACTGAATGATCGCGATTTAGATGTATAGTGATGATCTAAATAGATATATTGAAAAGCGGAAGGGCAGAGAGGGACGCACCTGGTCGCCGACGATCTTGAAGGGGGTGATGGACTGCTGCTTCTTGGAGAAGTCGAAGATGGCCACGTCCTCGGCTCCCGCGTGGTTGGGCGCAAACGGACACGTGCTCGGCAGACCTGTGCCGCACCGAAAAGAGATTGATCAGCGCTCCGTCCAGTTGTGCGTGCGTGCGTGCGTGAGTGCGTCGTGTCGTGTCGTGTCGTGTCGTGTCGTGTCGTGTCGTGTCGTGTCGTGTCGTGTCGTGTCGTGTCGTGTGTCGTGTCGTGTGTCGTGTCGTGTCGTGTCGTGTCGTGTCGTGTCGTGTCGTGTGTGTCGTGTGTGGTACCGGTGTGATCGGCGACTTCGGTGACAAAGCTTCGCAACTTCTGGATGTCGAGGTTGTCTCGCGAGAGCAGCAACGAGGCGTCGGTCTGCATCTCCCTCAGCACCTTCTTGTCGAGCAGGCTGCGATGGGATCACACTAATAAGTCAACCTCGTGCGGCGGTGTGTGTGTGTGTCGTGCGGTTGCATGTGTTGGTGCGATGAAGACGAAAGGGTGACGTACCTCTTGATCATGGCGGTCATCACGAAGTAGTGCGTCTCGCCTCGATAGTAGACCAGGTTCTCGAGGTCGATGCCGTACTTGGTGTTGAGATCGTTGAAGAACTGCTGGTTGTAGACTCGCAGAATACCAAACTCCTTGATCTGGTTCTCCGCCGACGTGTGCGTATTCACAAAGTTGGCCGTGATGCCAATCGCCCTGCTCCCCTATTTAACGCCGCAACACATACACACACCACACACGCACACACCACACACACACCACACACACACACAGTACGGTGTGGGTGGTTGGGCAACGTGACTCCTTGGAGTGTGTGGGGCGCACCTGCAGGACTTTTCGTTCAAATTCAAAGTCCTTGGCCACGAGCGAGTTCTCGCCGTCGGCGCCGACGATGATGTTGGCGGCCAGGTCGTCGTCGCGGTAGTCCACAAAGTCGGGCTTGCCCTGCGCGGCCACGACCACCTGCCACAGGCCCGACTGCGGCTTGGCCCTGTGCCGGGAGTCGTCCGTCTTGACGTAGCCCACGCCGGGCAGGAATTTGACGCCGAGAAGAAGCGCCAC